GGGGCCGGGTGGGGGACAGGAAGCACCACTCACTGGTAGGCCCTGCTGGCCTGGGTCTCCACGGAGGCCTTGCACACCCTCCTGCCCCTGGAAGCCAAGGAGAGACCAGTGAGGGGGCCCATCCTGGCAGGGCTGGGGGCCGGGGCAACTTCCGGCCTGGAGGAGCCCCCGAGCGCTTACTCTTCCTATAGCCATGTGTCATCGTCCCCTCTCTGGGCTCGCTAATCTGCAAAGCCGTGGAATAATGACCCTGCCCGTGAGAGGAGGAGCCTGGTGGGGGGCCGGGTGCTCCCCCAGTGGCTTGTCTCCTGCTTCTATCCACTGCTTCTGTTGGGAGAGCTGTTCCCGGCCACGGATGGGGAGACTGAGGCCCGGCGAGGAAAGGGGTCTCTGTCTCCCATCTCATCCTCTCCCTCCGATGGTCCCCCTGTCAGCATGAATTCTGGCCTGAGCCCTCTTTCAGGGGGTCTGTGCTTCAAGCTGGGCACTGATGGTGGGAGGGAGGGCTTCTCTCTTGGTGAAGGCTGTTCTCCCGCCAGGCGCCTGTGAGGGCTGAGGAATGTCCCTGCAGAACATGCTGGAGGCTGCCAGCGGGCAGGAGTTCGGATACTTACGGGGTATCCAGGGTCCCCTGGCTCCCCGCGGTCTCCTCGATCGCCTACGGGGCCCTGAATGACAAGGACAACACAATATGAGCCACCAGGTGCAGGCGATGCAGACCTGGGTCTGGGTCTCACTGGCCACCAGCTCTCAAGCTGGCAGCAGCCTCACCCCTGCCAACCTCCCCTCCCCCTCCCCACAGCAAGAAGCTAGGGCTCCACCTGGGCGGGGGTCCAGGGGACAGGAAGGGGGACTTACCCGATCTCCAGGTGGCCCAGGGGGCCCCTCGGCCTTGCCATCCTCGCCCTGCTCCCCCTGTGGACACAACGGGCTTTAAGTCACACTTCTCGCTCCTGGTGAATTTGGGGAGTTCTAGATACTCGACACAGCGTGGAAAGGGCCTTCGTCAGAGATGAAGTCCAGCCTACTTAGGGTTACAGATGGGGAGACTGAGGCCAGAGAGGGAAAGGGCAGACCTGGGCGTGCAACCAGGATCGTGGAACACAGCATAGTGCTCTTTACGGTCTGCCCCGCTGGGCACCCCGAGCAGGAGCCCTCAGGCTGTAAGACCCAGGTAGCTCGGAGCAGAGACCTGGGTCATGCCCAGCTTTGCACAGGACCAGCTGCTCAGACCCTCAACAGGTCCCTTCCCATCTCGAAGTTCTTCGTCTCAGCTGGGGAATGGGGGCGAGGTAGGGTGAAGGGACAATGGTGATACGGAGGAGTTCCAGGAAATGACACGAGAAGGCCCCGTGTGGTGCTCCTCGGGGAGTGACAATAGTTCCAACAGCTGGCAGCCAAGGGCACTGCCACCGGCCAGACACAGACACTGGCTGCATACTTCCAACAACCCTATGCAGCAGGTGATATACTATTCTTCCCATTTTACAGCTGAGGACACTGAGGCACAGAGAGGCGGTGTGGGCTGCTCCATTGTTCAGCCCCGAATAAGAATCCCTTTCTCCGGCCTTTGCAGGAATGAAGTGGCCAGAAAACCCCAGAGCAGGCCGGGGGCTGCCCCACGTTGCACTCGGCCGTGGGCCAATTTGGGGGTCTTGTCCATCAGACAGATTCCTATCTGCAGACAGCACAGGGAAGCCTTGCAGGGCTGCTCTGAGGACCCCGTGAGGGAAGCTCAGGACTGCCCACACAGTAGGGCCTCAGATGGCCAGGAAACTGGGCGTTGCTGACAATAACAGCAGGGGCGATGTGTGGCATGGATTCAGTCGGATTGGAGAGATTGGGTTTCGAGGCCGTGGGGCCCTGGCAGGCCGCCCTGGGCCCTGGTCCACCCCCAAGACAGGAGCCTGGATGCCATGTGCTGGCTACAGGGAAGGTGTAAGCAGAACAGCGAGCGGCGGAACCTCGGGGCTCAGAATGTTCCAGCCCCAGACAACCGGTGCCACTCCCGTGGGGGTGCATGCTGGGCAGAAGGCTCCAGCCAGGGCACCCCGGGCCCTCTCGATGTTGGCCGTGACTGAAAGGGAAGCCTGGGAAGCAGGAGAAGGAGCTGGCCCTGCAGCTGGAGCCTGTCCCCGGCCCAAATCAGTCCTGAGGGCTGGCAGCTGCAGTCCTTTGGCCCAGGGCCTCTGTGGCTCCTGTGGGCAGAGACTGAAGGCGGGAGGGACTTGGCCCAAGGCTTAGAACCAGCTGTACCCAAGGGGGTGGCCCAGGGAGTGGGGATTCCCTCTCTTCCCTGACCTCTCTCTCTGGCTTTTTGTCCCTAGTCTCAGTCCCACCGTGGAGGGAAGCAGCCGGACTGGGGCGCATTGGAGAGGGGGGCAGGGTCTACCTAGCGCATTCTGTGTGCCCGACACTTCGTGAAGTGCTTCATAGATTCCATTCAGCACTCCTACACTGCTGTGACTACTGGCCCATTTTATAGAGGGGGAGCCTGAGGCCCAGGGAAAGAAGGGTCCTAGTCAAAGCCACACAGAAATCAAGGAGTGGTCTGACCCCAAAGCCAACTGTCCTGATCTCCTCCGCTCCCCACCTGCCCCCCGCCCCGCCTTACATTGTGGCTCTAGTTCGGGGATGCGTTTTTAGCACCAGGAAGCTGGTGAAGCCCCCGTCTCCTTGTTCCCAGAGTCTCATCCTTAATCCCTCCAGACACCACCTTTGTAGACACATGCCCCACAGGGAATTCAAGAGTTGAACGACATATCAGCTCATCTAAGTGCCTGCTTCCGAAAGCCAGGGATGCACAGCCTGGCATCAGACAGTCTGCATCCTAGTCCTGCCACCTTTCCACCGGTCCTGACCTAGTCCTTGAGCATCGTGAAGACTCAGTTTCTCCATCTGTCACGTGGGACACTGACACCTCCAGGTGGGGGTCGTGGCGGGGACCGTGGAGACATCCTGGGCAAGAGCTTTGCACACGGCCGTTGTGTTTTGGGGTCTCCCTTGCGAACCTGTTCCCACTCCTCCCAGCACCCTCCAGCTCGTGCGTGGCTCTTCACTCTCGTGCCTATTTTTACTCCTGAGCCCTTTAGGGCATCATTCTGCAGCCCCTAGCTCAGGGCCGAGAACACACCACATAATCATTTGAAATCCCTAAGTCCCTGTTAGATAGCCAAATGAATGACAGAACTCATACAATACCTTATACATAAGAAAGTGCCTCTGGCTGCCATCTATGTGACGTACTGCTTCGCCTCACATTCCCGAGCTACCCACCCGCTTAACCGATGAGGCCGTCAAGGTTCAGGGAACCCTGGGGCCCCACCCAAGGCCCCGGCAGGCTCAGGGCGGATTGAGGGTTAGGATCCCATTCTCGGCAGCCACAGGAACTGGGTCTGGGGCTGAAGGTGGCTCAGAGGGAGCCTCTTGTTTCAGGGTCCGTCTTAACCCCTCCTGTGCCAGCCGTGGCAGACCGTGAGGGCCGAGGAGGGACACTTCCTGCGGCTTCCTGTGGCATGTTGGAGCCCACTGATTGCAGATCTCTTCTCCAAGCAGGAGGAAGGGGCCAGCTGGACAGCAAGCCAGGCCAGGGTGATTCACCAGGCAGCGGGATGTAGTTAGTGGGTAGCTGACTCGGCGAAAGAAAGGAGGGCTGGGGAGGCAGGGGGGCAAGGAGACAGCGGCAGGCCGCCTGCTAAGAGGCATTCCAGCTGAGCCATCAGGGGAGGAGGGAGGCAAGAGCGGGGGACTCGGAGCTCAAAGGCCCGGGCCCGGGGCCATCTTGGTGCTGCCTTGGAACGTGACCTGGGACCAATGCCTTGGCCCTCTGGCCCCATGTCCCCACCTGCACGGTGTGGCAGGGCAGAGCCATCAGCAAGCTTTCTTCTACCTATTCCTGTCTTCTACCGAGGCTGGGGCCAAGGAGTGGGAAACAGACATGCCCTCCCTCTGCCTCAGTGCCTCCTTCCTGGCTGTGAAAGGCTGGCTTTGCTCTCTATCCTAAGCCCTCTGCTGGCTCTCACCGGGTGATCTCGTTCCTAAGCAAGGCTTCAATCTTCACGTTCGCACAGATGATGGGATTGCAGTTCTGGTTGGTACCTAACTGGTGTCCGTTTCCCCTGCTTGACCGGAAGCCCCAGGGAAGGCAGGAGCTGTGTCTGGTTTTGTTCTGGTGCTGGGCACAGACCTGATACCCGGTACATCTGGGCTGAATGTAGGTCTAACGGCTCCCGGCCAGCCGTGGTACAAGCAAGGCTGAGCCGACCGTGAACCTCCGCGTGACCCCAACCACAGTGTCCCAGGGACTTACTAGAGGGAGCACCTGCTTCCCAGGACTGAGCACCCACCTTTTCGCCCTTTGGTCCAGGAGGTCCGAGGGGGCCCATGACGCCTTTGTGTCCCTGAAGGAAACAAGATGACAAGAGGTGAGAGCGTATGGGCGAGTGAGGACTTGAGAGGCACAGTGATGAAGGACAGGAACTCGGAAGTGAAGAATCTGGGCTGTAAGTTTGGGTCCCGGCTCTGCCCCACCTCGCTGTGTGATTCGGAGCAGGCCCTGTGCCTCTCTGGGGCCTGGCCTCCCGGACAAGCCATGTCGGACCCCGGCACACCTCTAAGAGGGGTGCCAGCTCGGATGCAGAACTGGGTTAAGACCCTTCCCTTCTGCAGACAGCAGGTGGGACGCCCAGACAGGGAGCGAACGTGGCACCCACCATGGGAAGGAAGGACTCAGTGAAGGCACTCGG